CAGATTTTAGCTTTTTTGTGTGCATTAAATTACTAATGTAATAAAGAAAAAAAGTTCGTACAAACAAATTAAGAAGGGTATCTAAAACGTTAATTTTGTAAAAATCCCTTCAAAATTTTGCAAATTATAACCAAAAAAAACACGTTTTTGGAGTCTAAGTATTTTTTTTTAAAAAACTTTTTTTTAAGCCTAATTGAAAGAATTTTTGAAAAATCGAAAAACCGAAAAATTGACGTTATTCAGCGGTTTAAGACCGATCTTTTGATGCTTAAAAAAACCTTTCCTCAAAATCTATATTTTTAATGCTTTCAATTTGCTACCGTATAATTTTTTGCTCGTCATAAACGGATTTGATTTTTTCGATGAAATAAGTTTACCCTTAGTTAGAAAATAGTGCTAAAATTACCCTTAGTTAGAAAATAGTGCTAAAAATATTTTATCCTGATATGTTGAATTACATTTTTATCATCATAATATATATATATATATATATATTCTGTTCTCTAACAATAATTATTAAAATATTAAAATAGTACTTTTATGGAATTGACAAAGTTTTAGATTTTCTTTATTTAAAGAGAATTCGAGGATGTTGACTGCAAGAACTGCAAAATTTGGCAATTTTCAAATTTGTAGATTTTCAATGACATGCCCACTTTTTTTTCAGCAAAACTATTATTATTCATTTTTTTTATTTTAGGTTTAGGTTTAAGACAAACAACTGAACTTGAATGTACTGCAGTATACAATCCTGTGTTTACAATCCATATTAAGTGTCTATCTAATTATCAATACTAATATTCAAATATCTACAGAAAACCACCCCTGAGAAATACTATTACTCTATATACAAGTGTATAGTGTTAGATACGTAAACATATCTTGATGTACACAACCGACCACTCTATAATTAATTAATAGGGAGGTCGGTTGTGTACATCTGAGCTAAGATGGATTTAGTATAATGAGTCAGTAATTGAATAATCATTAGACTTTGTGATATTTCAAGATGCAATACTCAGTCAAATGGTGCTATGCAAACGCCTCAACACGGAAACGTCTCAACACGGAAATGCCTCAAAAAAAGCGGAAACCCCTAAAAAAAAAACGGTTTTTTAGGCTTTTCCGCAATTTCTGTTAGAAAAACGGAAATCCCTCAAAACCCAGTTTTATTTTGAGACGTTTCCTAAAATTTTTGAGGGGTTTCCGCTTTTCACCTGACAATTATTTTTGAGGAATTTCCCAATATTTTTAAGGGATTTCACAATATTTTTGAGGCGTTTCCGTATTTTTAAAACCTTGATTTAGTTGAGGTGTTTCCTCTTTTTTTGAGGCGTTTCCGTTTTTTTAGGCGTTTCCGTTTTTTGAAAAAACTTTTAAAACTTTATTTTGTTGAGGCGTTTCCTCTTTTTTTTGAGGCGTTTCCGTTTTTTTTTTTTTTGAGGCATTTCCGTTTTTTGAAAAAACTTTTAAAACTTTATTTTGTTGAGATGTTTCCTCTTTTTTGAGGTGTTTCCGGTTTTTTTGATGCGTTTCCGTTTTTTAAGGCGTTTCCGTTTGTTGAAAAAAACTTTTAAAACTTTATTTTGCTGAGGCGTTTCCTCTTTTTTTAAGGCGTTTCCTTTTTTTGAGGCATTTCTGTTTTTTTGAGGCATTTCCGTTTTTTGAAAAAACATTTAAAACTTTATTTTGTTGATATGTTTCCTCTTTGTTTTGAGGCGTTTCCGTTTTTTTTTACAGCATTTCCTTCTTTGAAAAAAAGTTTTCAAACTTTATTTAGTTGAGGCGTTTCCTCTTCTTTTTGAGGCATTTCTTTTTTTTAAAACTTTATTTAATTGAGGCATTTCCTCTTTTTCCGTTTTAAAAAAAACTTAGTTCCTTTCTTTAAAAATCTTTCCCCCTTTCCAAAATAATTAATCTCCTCCCAGAAATTAAACACCATGAGGTTTTAAAGAAATAGGGATTAGAAAAATGAGAAAAACAATTTTTAGGGGTTAAAGGGTTTTAATTGCTGAATTTTTGGGTAAAAACAAAAATAATTAAAAATGATGAAAATTTGCTTGTTAATGCATCCATTTATCTTTTTGGTATAATTTCCTAGAAAACGATTTTCTAAAGAATAAAAATGGTCATGTACAAAATTGATAGAAGGGGGGGGGGTCTGGGGTCCAAAAATCGTAAACTAGGACGGACCCGTCTTTTCTTTTTTGATTATCACTAATTTTATTCAATGCAATAAGACAGCGTTTCTATTTAAGTTTTGATTTCTAACAAAGTTATTTAAAAATGACTGTGTGATTGGTAATGTTACAACGTCTATACACAACATCCTCTATACTTAACTTCCGACCAACTAATTTTCCGACCTATTGCAATATCCGACCTACAACAGCTGTTGGTTGGTTGCACATTTTTTTCTTTAGTCCGACCTATACAGGCGTGATAGAGTTCTACCATGTGCTGCATGGAGCTCGAGTTGATTTAGAAGGCAGCGATATACCCTCATTTGGTAAGTCAGATGTACACTTTAATTGTTTTAGGTCAGATGTACACTTTTTGTAGGTCGGATGTACAGGGGTGGATACAGGATTTAAGTGAGGGGGAAATTGATTGCGAAGTCAAGTTTGGCTAAAGAATTCTTCTTATATACTTTGACAGTTTGAGTTAACTGTATATCTGTACTGTGTGTACTGTGTAACCTAGCAGCCGGTGTATACTGTGTGCGACGGTTTACTCTAAATCAGCTGAGCGAGAATTTCTGGGTAAAAGTGACAGAGGAGCGGAGAGTATGTGTATAGGTAGTTCAGGCGCAATTAGAAGGCTTGTGGGGGGGGGGGGGTGGTAATATATTAAGAGAAAATAACATAAAAAAGGTTATGTGTGTTTTTCGTTCTGTTTAACCTAACTGTCTTGTAGACTTCACATGTACAACTACATCATAAGCTATCGAAAAATATAGAAATAAAATGGCAATATTTTAGGTAATTTCCTAATATACGATTTTTGGACCCCGCCCCCCCCCTCCCATCAATTTTGTACATGGATCTTATATGTAAGACATGGATATAATTGACTATATGTGGCCGCAGCGCTCGGCCCCATGAGCCTTTCCTAGCCGCAGCGCTCGGCCCCATAGCCTGTTCTAGCCGCAGCGCTCGGCCCAGAAAGTGTCTTAACCTAACCTAACCTTAACTAATAATAAATTTGTTGGAAAATAAGTGGTCATGCACAAAATTGATAGGAGGGTGGCGGGGGGGGGGGCCAAAAATCGTATACTAGGACGGACCCCCTTTCTTATTCTAAATAAGTTTTTTGCACTGAGATGCTTACTTTGTAACTTGCTAATAATGAAAAGGATGGTGTATTTTGGACCTACGCCCATCCCCTCTACTGCCCATCCGACCTACAAGCAAGTGGTTTTAACAGCTGTGGTATAGGTCCGATGCACTGTAGGTCGGATGGGCATGTTAAAAACAGCATGTTGGTGCATCCGACCTACCCTCTCTGTAATACTTTAAGCTGTCGCTTGGACACGTTAGTAGGTCTGATGGGCCTTTTTCGTAGGTCGGATGTGCACTTTTCGTAGGTCGGATGGGCATTTTTCGTAGGTCGGATGGGCACTTATCGTAGGTCGGATGGGCACTTATCGTAGGTCGGATGGGAATTTTTCGTAGGTCGGATGGGCCTTTTTCGTATAGGTTGGATGGGCATTTTTCGTAGGTCGGATGGGCATTTTACGTAGGTCGGATGGGCACTTTTTGAAGGTCGGATGGGCATTTTACGTAGGTCGGCTGCAGACATGTGGCCAAAGCGCTCGGCCCCCTAGCCTGTCCTAGCCGCAGCGCTCGGCCCAGAAACGAGCTTAACCTAACCTAACCCTAAATATACACTAATTTTATTAAAAATTGTTGAATTAATTAGGTCTTTCATGGCCGCAGCGCTCGGCCCAGAAATGCACTTCCTAACCTAAACCTTAAATATACACTAATTTTATTAAAAAATGTTGAAATTAAAGGTCTTTCATGGCCGCAGTGCTCGGCCCCCCCCCCACTAAAAGTGCCCATCAGACCTACGAAATATGCTCATCCGACCTACGAAAAATGCCCATCCGACCTACGAAAAATGCCCATCCGACCTACAAAAAGTGCCCATCCGACCTTCGAAAATGCCCATCCGACCTACACGAAAAATGCCCATCCCACCCACAAAAAGTGCCCTTCTGACCTAACAATTAATTATTTCTACCCTACTGCGCTATAGGCATGACAAAAGCTGCTGAATAGGTCAGATGGGCAAAAAATGTATGCCCATCCGACCTACAGCTGTCGTAGGTCAGATGTTCCAGTAGGTCGGATGGGCAGTATAGCGGATGGGCAATAGGACGGATGGGCAGTAGAGCGGATCAACATTACCAATGAAAAGTTTATAACTAAGACACCAAGTTAACTTTTAAACATGCATTAAGAGAAAACCTCCTATAAATCGTGATTTCATTTCAGATAGAATGGTGGATTCGAGTACAAGGGAAATCAAGAGTTTGAAATAAAACTGTAAAGGATGTATGTAATCTTCATAAACAAGGAGAAAATATCAAGACAGAGAATACAGAAAATATAGGAAAGGATTTAAGTTAATTTTGGAAACTTTTGTTTGAACCTACTGTCAGGTTTTTAATCTCTACACCCGGTAACCATGAACATTTAACATTCTATACATTTTATTTTTGTCTAACTGTAATTTTTCCTGTACCTTCGTTAAACATATAAAGTGTTGAAAGTGGTATAATAACTCAAGAATCCAATGTGGACTTCAAGTAAAGACTTTTACATTTGTATTTATAAAAAATAAAATTTTAGATTATAAAATTCATCTCAAATTTAATCAAAGAATTTATTTTTTATACTTATCATTACTGGTCTCACAAATAAATCTTTTCAATTTTTCTTAATTCTTATCTAAATTTTAGATAACAAAGAGGATCCTATGAAATCTGAACAAACGGCAAAGAAGTGCTATATCCCTGTGTTCAGTGTCAATATATTGCAACAAAAAGTAACCATTTCAAAAGTAATGTGCAAAGTAAACATGAAGGAGTGAAGTTTCCATGTGACATTTGTGATTATATTGCTGGTGATCCAGATACCCTGAAGAGGCATAATTCAATTAAACATGTAGAGGTTAGACTAAGGTTTGCATGTAATCAATGTGAATATAGTGCTATCGCACCACAACTTCTTAAAGTTCACTTGGAGAGTATACATGAAAAAGTGTGTTATCTTTGTAATCTGTGTGAAAATACTTTTACGACTAAAGAACATATGAAGAGGCACACAAAGAACAAGCATCAAGGTATATATATTTCAAGAGCAAAACTAAAAATAATTACAAATCTTTTAAGGGTTAATATTTTTTGCATACGCTGTTTTGACATCGAGAGGTCTTTTCTTAACAAAATTTACTACTGTTCAATAAAAAACCTAATAATTTTTTTTAAAGAACTTTTTTACTATGTTTTCGTTGTTAATCATAAATTTTATTCGTTCCAACAAATCCCGGTAAAGTAATATTTCGTTGGAAACATTAAATCAAAGCTTTTAATTTTGTAAACGCCAATCTAGTATAAAGTATTGATGGAATGAAATAAATATTATCAAAATCTTAAAAAATATTGCTGTAAAAAGAAGCTTTCTATTTAAGTTTTATAAAAGATCAAAATCAATATTTTATTACGTAGAAAACAGTTTTAAAAGATTAAATCCACGAACCTATATATATATATATATATAATTATATATATGTTGGTTATTTTAAAAAATATGTCTGAAAATCAATCAAAATATTTCAATTTGAATGATATTGATAAGAAGAAGGACACTTTGTCTACTGATCAGAGGCGTATTCATGGGGGGGGGCTATTGGGGCTAAGCCCCCCTGGTCCAGTGAAATCTATTGATTTCAGGGGGTTTTCATGCCCCCAACGGGTGCTGAGCCCCCCCCCCTGGAAAGAAAAAAATTTAAGCCCCCCCTGGACAAATTCCTGAATACGCCCCTGCTACTGATGATACATTTAAGGATAATTTCCTGGAAGAAGATATAGAATTGTAAATACAGAAATCAAGGGTGCGTTTAAAAATCATACCAATTGATTCAGTAGCTCTTCATTTGAGTCATCTTTATACGTCCTTGCCACTAGCAAATACTTAATCTTGCAATATTCATCATTGTTAAATGAAAATTACTTAAATGAGTATATCACGTAGCTCACGGTCAATAATCTAATGCTAGTTATAGAATATAACATTGATTGATTAAAGAATATACAAAAAACATAAATTTTGTTTCAGAGATAATGGCAGAGAATATGGAGGGAGCAAAATTACCAGGATACAAAGAGGATACATGTATTGTGTATATAAAGGAAGAAGATGTGAAAAAGGAAACTACTGAAATTCAAGGTATTCAAGAACCAAGGATTAATAAATAGTTTGAGTAGTGGTTGAATTACGATTGGGAAGCTCAGCTGCTTCTCGTTTTTAATTATATCTGTTCAAAGTCTTTCTTTTATATAATGCATATAATGCATATATTTCTTTAATTCAGAAACTATTCTCTTATTTCTCTTTTCACATCTTTTTTAGCACTAACAAACTTAATAAATACAATGAAATGGTAGTTAATATTGGCTTTTTAGAAGAAAACACGGACAACGGATTTGATCCACTACAATTTAAACCAAAGAAATCCAAGATGAATAAGAAGGAATATCCGTGTAATGAGTGTGAGTATGTGGCAACTCGAGCAGGTCACCTGAAGATTCATATTGAAAATAAACATTTAGGAGTGAAGTACGCTTGTTCTGAATGTCAGTATTCTGCAGCTACTACAGGAAATCTGAAGAGACATGTTCAGAGTATGCATGAAGGTGTAAGATATCCTTGTTCTGAATGTAATTATGCTGCAACTACAGCATGGGATCTAAAGAAGCATGTGGAAAATAAACATATAATTGGTGTGAAATATCCTTGTACTAAATGTGATTACTCTGCTGCAACAGCAAGTATTCTTAAGAGACATGTCAATAGTGATCATGAAGGAATAAGATACGCTTGTCCTAAATGTGATTATATCACAGCTACAGAAAGAAATCTGAAGAGACATGTAGAAACTTATCATGAAGGAGTGCAATATCCATGCTCTGAGTGTTGTTACGCTGCAACCGCAGCTAGTGCTCTTAGGAGACATATTAATAGTATACATGAAGGAGTAAGACATTCTTGTGAAAAATGTAACTATACAGCAACTACAATAAGTGATCTGGAGAGACATTTTAAAAGTAAACACAAAATAGTAAGACACCCTTGTGATAAATGTGACTATACTGCAACTAGATCAAATGATCTGAAGAGACATTTCAATAAAAAGCACATGTAAGGATCATAGAAACCCCTATTTTCATATGTTCTATAATGCTGTTAAGACTATTCTAATTCATTGATCTCTCGTAATAGTTTTTTTTTTACTTTTGGGATTTAAACTCATTGAACTATTATTAAAAATTAACAACAACGACTATTGTACCACTGTTTTATACTAATTCTTCAGTTAGATAGAATGGCAGAAAATTGTAAAAATTATAGGTTACAAAATTACTCCAACCCTCTGTGTCATGTTGGACCAGAGAAATCTTAACAGTCCTGAATTATAGACGTAATTTCAAGCTAAAATTTAAAATATCAGATTCACAATGGTATATTTAAAATTAGATATTCATTTTATTGTTTTTGAAAACTTATCATATTCATCTGTGGTTTCTCTACAAAGGGATTAAACACAATTAATTGAAGGAATTATTAGAATTGAACTCTCTTCAATCTAGAACAGCGACAATATTTACCACATTATTAATCACATAGAGGTTTCAAGGCTAATGGGAATCTTGGAAGCTCTTTTTTAAAGTTAGATGTCACTTGAAATTACAACAGTCCCTTTAAATCTTCGCAATGGTCATTGGTCATGGTACTGATGCTTTTGGTGCTTTTACAACGATTTCTAATTTTGATTTAACATTTCGTTCTTACAAATCTTCATTTTCGTAAACAATATTTTACAAATCGATTTTTGAAAGCAAGCCTCTAAAAGTGACAGTCTGGGAGAATTTTAAAAATCGAATTTGCTTTCATATTTAGCAAGTATACAGAGTACAAATGTCTGATAAGTCTCAAATGATTTCTAAAAAACATCTACAATATTGTACTCTCACCTCGACTATCATGTCTAGCCAGACACTCCCTTCATTATACATCGTCATATTGGACAATGGCATATAGGTGTTTCATGATTGAAGCGAGAAATAAACATAAATTTTGTTCCAGAGATAATGGCAGAGAATATGGAGGAAGAAAAAATACCAGGATACAAAGAGGATACATGTATTGTGTATATATAAAGGAAGAAGAGGTGAAAGAGCTACAGAAATTCACGGTATTCAAGGTATTCAAGAATCAGAATTAATGAATTTTTTGAACTGGAAAAAGATTAGTGGTTGAATTACGATTGGGAAGTTCAGCTGCTTCTCGTTATTAATTAAATCTCTTTCAAGTCTTCTTTTATATAAACCTTTAAAAAAAATGGTACTAATGGTCAGCAAGAAAATAATGCATATATTTCTTTAATGCAGAAACTGTTTTTTTAGCCAAACAAACTTGATTATTACAATGAAATGGTATTTATAATTGGCTTTTCAGAAGAAAACACTGATAACGGATTCGATTCACAACAATTTAAACCAAAGAAACCCAAGATGAATAAGAAGGAATATCCGTGTAATGAGTGTGAGTATGTGGCAACTCGAGCAGGTCACCTGAAGATTCATATTGAAAATAAACATTTAGGAGTGAAGTACGCTTGTTCTGAATGTCAGTATTCTGCAGCTACTACAGGAAATCTGAAGAGACATGTTCAGAGTATGCATGAAGGTGTAAGATATCCTTGTTCTGAATGTAATTATGCTGCAACTACAGCATGGGATCTAAAGAAGCATGTGGAAATTATACATATAATAGGTGTGAAATATCCTTGTACTAAATGTCCAACAGATAAAAACCTTAAACCATACAAACCTTGGACCGATACAAACCTTTGACTGATATTAATAATCTTTGGATTGATTTAACCTTGGTTTGATACAAACCTTGGTCTGATATAAGCCTTGGTCTTATGCAAACCTTGGACTGATATAAACCTTTGACTGAACCTTGGACCGATACAAACCTTTGACAGATATAAATAATCTTTGGATTGATTCAACCTGGTCAGACCATGATGAAAACCTTTGACTGAACCTTGGACCGATACAAACCTTTTACTGATCCAAACCTTGGTTTGATACAAACCTTGGCCCGATACAGACCTTGGACTGCTTGGTCTGATACACACCTTGGACTGATACAAACCATGGGCTTATTTTGGTATAATTTTTCTGTGAAATATCAAATATGGCTATTTTTTACTTTTAGGGGAAATGTTAATGCACAAAGAAGAACCCGAGTAGAATGAAAAAGAAGAAATCAAATATTCCTGCACTTACTGTGAATATTCAACTACAAAAGCTCGATATCTAAAAATTCACACAGACCGTTTGCATGAAGGAATGTGGTATCCATGCAAGGAATGTGATTATACTGCCAATACAAGAAGAAGTCTAAAAGTGCATATTGAAATTAAACATGAAGGCGTGCGGTATCCTTATAATCAATGTGAATACGTTGCGACAAGACCATATCACTTAACGGGACATATTAGGGTTAAACATGAAGGATTAAGATACGAATGTGATCAATGTGATTATACTTCTGCAACGTCTTCTGATCTAATAAGACACGTGGAGAGTAAGCATGAAGGCTTGAGGTTTCCATGCAATCATTGTGAGTACTCTACAACAAGAACAGGACACTTAAAACTGCATATAAAGAGTCAACATGAAGGGTTAAGGTATGAATGTTCTCAGTGTAAACACGCTGCTAAAACAGCTACCAATCTGAAGAGGCATATTCAGAGTAAACATGAAGGAGTGAGGTATCCATGTAATCAATGTGAATTCACTGCTACAAGAGTTAGCCATCTTAATAGACATAAGAAAGTTAAGCACGAAGGACTGAGATATGAATGTAATCAATGTGAATATGCTGCAACAAGTTTGAGCCATTTAAAGAGACACACTGATAATAAACATATAGAAACTGACCTTAAACCGAATATTTTTACCGGAAATTGAAGACGACATTTATCTACTTCAATTTCAATTGGCAACTACAAGGGTTACCCACTTTAAAGACGAAAATTCATTTATTCATTTTTCTTTTACTAAGAGTTCCCTTTAGCTATACAATTGTTTCTTTCTTCACCAGATTATTGAATAGACTTTAAAAAAACTTTATTTTAAAACGGAAGACATATTCGACCTTTATATCGTCACATATATCTTATCTTATCTTATCTTATCCTACAGTCATAATCAGAAAGACTAGAATTAATTGACAGTTATTCAGGCGACTTTTAATATTAATTTTAAATGCTCAAAGGCAGACCACATTTTGGAAATAGCAGGACAAGAGCTATTTAGTGATTATCGTTTCATCTGTCTTATTTGTAAAATTGGGTTGTAAAGTCGTCAGATTAACTGTAAATTTATTACGGGACTTTCTGATTATGACTGTATCTTTAGTGTTTAGAGTCATAAAGAACCTTTATTTCGACAATAATTAAACAACTACTATTATAAAATATTTTAACACTGTTTTTGGGGAAAATTTTAACACTTGGATATTTAATACCTCATGTCGGAAACAAAGCTGCCAATTAAGATTTTTAAAAATTCTAAAATTTAAAATATCATTGATTAACGACTTTATGAAAGAACGGAAAATACCATTAACAAACGGAAACTTTATGAAAAAATGGAAAATACCGTTAACAAAAGGAAACTTTATGAAAGAACGGAAAATACCGTTAACGAACGGAAACTTTATGAAAGAACGGAAAATACCGTTAACAAACGGAAACTTTATGAAAGAACGGAAAATACCGTTAACGAACGGAAACTTTATGAAAGAACGGAAAATACCGTTAACGAACGGAACATTCAGTTCTTAGCTAAAGAACAAATGGCTATCAGAAAAGTTTTTTTATGCATTACTATAAAGTACAAATAACAAAATCTTTTGTTTTTACTTTATATACTATTTAGTATTTACTTTTGGGAAGGATTTTTGGCCCCCGAGTGAAATCCTTGAAATATCAAGAGCAGTGGTACCTAACGGCCATCTAATTGTTCTCCAAAATACATTTCATTATACATAGAAAATTAAAAAGAATATTATATTTAAACTTCGAATTGAATTCGACAATGATAACTTGTAATAAATTAAGGATTAGTTTTATATTTAATTGAGTTATCTACGGTTTGGGTAAGATAATGCAACTCCGTAAATCAGACCGTGCCAAGCCCTACATGATTTTTGATACACTGGGGGAAAAATGAAAAATTGGACTACAAAAGACAGTTTTTCATTCTCTTTGATACCCTAAAACTCATTTTTCCCCAAAATTTGTATTCTCCACAATTCCGATAAGAAACCCTTTATAAAAATTATTTTGCGCTCCAAATAAACATACCTAACAGTGCTAAGAAAATATTTTAGTCTTGCAATAATTTATTCTTCATCTAATAGCTTTTTAATGGTTCTCATCACAAAATGTTCCTCTTTGAATCCCCCCCCCCCTGTCATCCGTTTTGGTTATTGATAAGCAGAAACTAAATTTTGATAGCAATCAACCTAACCTTAAATGTTATTTATTTCATTATTAATTATGAAATTAAACAAGAACTAGATAATGACAAACATCTGTATTTTCAGAGAAAATATCGGAAAGTTTGAAATAAGAAATGGAATTGAATGAAATTGAGGAGAAGAAAAATGTTGATGTTATCCAAGAAGAAAATTTCCCGTCCCCCACTGTAGAGGATACATGTACTGTATATGTACATAGGGGCGATATCAAAATGGAAAATACAGAAATTAAAGGTAAACATGAGTTTTATAAAATTGTTTTAAAATCTTCAATTATTATGACACCAAACGACAAACAAAGATGTTTCATAATGATTAAATTAAAATAATAAAACGAAAATATCAATATTGCATTGAAATAAGATAGATACCATTTTCTTAAAAAGAAAAGATATCAAGTCCATTCTATTTAATAAATAAGACAATTAACATTCACAATGAAAAATAAGATAGTTAGATATTCTCTACAGTCTTAATAAGTAAGACCGAGAATTAATTGACAATCAATCAATCAGACGACTTTACCATCGTTTTTGATCTTTGAACAAGTATACGGCAAATTCATTTGTCAATTTAATTTTACAAATATGATTGATGAAACAATTATCAAAAAAGAGCCATAATCTAGCCATTTACATAATCACAGGAGATATCAATGATTTCTTTTAAAATTAGAAAATTTTCTTTTTATTAAATAAAATGAAATCTAAATAAGATTCTTTTTATCTCTGGAAATTTTGAACGCACAAAAAAAGGCAGACCACATTTTTTAAAGGACAGGACTAGGGCTAATTTTTTGTTTTCGTGTCATCGTTATATTTAAAGTTGTAATCTCTGTTTGTCTGTCCGATCACAACTTAAAACCCTGGACCGATTTGCCTCAAATTTTGATTGGGGAACTAAGTAGGCCCACGGAAATGTTCTTAGCTTGGTTTTAAGATTCTAAGTTAAGTGAGTCTTCTTTTAAAGGGAAAAATAACTAAAATCGTAATTTACAACTTAGCGCGGGTGAACGGCGGGACTAACGTTGACTACCCTGGGCAACGCTGGGTTCCCAAGCTAGTCAATCATATTTGTAAAATTTTATATTGACAAATGAATTTTAACTAGTTCAAAGATTAAAGACGATGGTAAAGTCGACTGATTAATTGTAAATTAATTCTGGGTCTTTCTGATTAGGACTGTATGATAAATTTACTATAAGAAATAAGATACATTTTCCATTCTCTTTATTGAAAAATATACTTTAGCCATTCTCTTTTGATAAATAAGATAACTTATCCATTCTCTGTTATAAATAAGATAGCTTAACCATTCTCTGTAATAAATACAATACTTAAACACACACTATAATAAATAAGATACCTAATCCATTCTCTACAGTAAAAAAATCTTAAACATTCACTTTAATAATTAAGATACTTAACATTCTCTGTAATAAATATGATACTTAAACGGTCATCTCAATAATTAATATACTTAAGCATTCTTTATAATAAATAAGATACTAAAACATTTACTATAAGAAATAAGATACCTAAACCATTCTCTGTAGCAAATTTGATACTTAAATATTTTCTATAATAAATAAGATACTTAAACCATTTCCTAAAATGAAAAAAACCATTTTTGTTAAGATATATATACCAGTTTTCTGTAATAATTCAGATACCTTACATGTTCCCTGTTATTAGGTGAAGTTTTATTTCATGAAGATGAACCTCTACACGCTGTAAATAAGGAGGCGAAGAAGACCAAACCCGAAGGAGTTAATCACCAATGTGGTCAATGTGAATTTTCTTCAGCAACGGCCAGATATCTGAAGGTTCATATTGAAAGTAAACATGAAGAAATTAATTATCCATGTAGCCAATGTGAATATGTCGGAACGGCTTCACAAAATCTTACGGTACATATAAGGATAAGACACAAAGGAGTGATATACCCTTGTGAGCAGTGTGACTACTCTGCTACAACAGCAGGACACCTAAAGAGACATGTCAAAAGTAAACATGAAGGAGTAAGATATCCATGCAGTCAATGCGAAAATACCTTCTGTGATCGAAGTAGTCTCAAAACACATATTGAAGGTAAACATGCTAAAGTTAGGCATCTTTGTCATCTATGTGAATACGTGGGGTCTACAGCAGGAAGTCTACATGTGCATATTAAGACCAAGCATGAAGGAGTGAGATATCCTTGTAGTGAATGTGAATACAGTGCTACAACGGTAAGTGACCTAAAGAGTCATGTTGACCGTAAGCATGGAAGTGTGATATATTCATGCGATGAATGCAAATACACTGCATCAACTGAAAGGGATCTAAAAAGGCACATTGAATATAAACATCAAGGTGTTAATCATCAATGTAGTCAATGTGAATATACTGCGGCAACAGCAGGGAATCTCAAAATGCATATCGAAAGTAAGCATGATAAAGTGAGATACACATGTACACAATGTGAATATGCTTCTACAACAGCAGGACATCTAAAATTACACATAAAAACAAAACATGAAGGATTACGATATCCATGTGATCAATGTGAGTATTCTGCAACAAGACCAACTCATCTCAAGTTGCATTTCAAGAGTGTCCATGAGGGAGTGAGATATTCGTGTAATCAATGTGAATACGCTGCAACAACTGTGAGCCATTTAAAGAGACACATTAAGAGTAAACATACATAACATTTTTGTTGTAGTTGATGTTTGTCAAGGAATCTTATTTCGACTTAGTAAGGAATGTTTTATTTTAATGTGTTTAAAACATAATCTAGATAAAAGCTTTAGAATATAACATTGATTTATTAAAGGATATAAAAAACATAAATTTTGTTCCAGAGATAATGGCAGAGAATATGGAGGGAGAAAAAATACCAGGATACAAAGAGGATACATGTATTGTGTATATAAAGGAAGAAGATGTGAAAGAGGAAACTACTGAAATTCAAGGTATTCAAGAACCTAGGATTAATGAATAGTTTGAGTAGTGGTTGAATTACGATTGGGAAGCTCAGCTGCTTCTCGTTTTTAATTATATCTGTTCAAAGTCTTTAGTAAGATATCCTTGTTCTGAATGTAATTATGCTGCAACTACAGCATGGGATCTAAAGAAGCATGTGGAAAATATACATATAGGTGTGAAATATCCTTGTACTAAATGTGATTTCGTTGCAGCTACAGCTGATATTCTGAAGCGACATGGACAACGTTATCATGAAGAAGTGAGAATCCCTTGTTCTGAATGTGACTACGTCACAGCTACAGCAAGAAATCTGAAGTTGCATGTCAAAAGTCAACATGAAGGAGTGAGATATCCATGCTCTAATTGTTCTCACGCTGCAACCACAGCTAGTGCGCTTAGGAGACATATTGAAAGTAAACACAAAGGTGTAAGATATCCCTGTGATAAATGTGACTATACTGCAACTGCAGTAGGTGATCTGAAGAGACGTGTCAATAAAAAACACCCGTGAAAAATTCCTAATTTTTGTAAGTTCTGCAAAGTTACTAAAACTTGTCTAGTTCTTTAATCTCTCATCATAATTGTATTTTCGGGATTCAAATTATCTAAACTGTCATCAACATTTATTATTTTACCGGCAGAAAATTATGAAAATTATATATTGCAAAATTCTTTGGACTTCTATGTGTGAACTTCTATTCAAAAATTGGCCTGAGCTGGAAACTTGAGATGAATGCTTGATCCTCTCTAATTCTTAATCTCGAGACTAACGTAATCTTATGTAAATGTATCCTGAAAAGTGTATTAAATTCAACCAATCAGAGTCGCGTATCAGAAGCCGGGAAATTTGAAATTTTGCCCCCATATAGGTAATGTACTCTCTAATTTTGAAAACCCGGTTTTTGATTTTTCTCTACTATATCCAAAAAAGAGTGGATTAAACAAGAAATTAAAAGTGTCCACATTGAATATTCGGATTAAGCAGTCGGGATTAAAGGTTTCCCATTCTAAAGTTCCCAGCTCTGTCCAATTCACAACGATACCCTGAAAAGCTTTGTCTGATTGTCTGATCAAGATTAAATTAGATGTTTTCGAAAACAGATTATTTCTATTAGTTTCTTTAGAAAGTGACATTGAAGAAACAACGTTTGAATTATCAGAATTTATCCCTTTTCAAACTAGAAAAACGACATTACTGAACAAACAACAGTTGTCACAGTTGTCGACATTTTTCATCTTGAAAGATATAAATGTACAGAGATGTTTTAAAGATATTCCTATTATATAGATTAACTAGGTCGGTTGTGAACATTAGCTGTTCTTGTGGTGTACATTATTTCTGTAGAGAAAAATTTAAATTAGTTTAGTCCTTCTCATGTCCTTCTTCAGTTCTCGTCAATATGATATATTGCTCAGTGAAATAAAATTCACTCCTGAGTGGTTTAATAATTATGAAATCCATTTATAAAACACCAAACCACCCCGCTTATCATTGAATTACACTTTGACCCTTGAAGTATGAGTTCGCGGACTGTACAATTCTTGGTGATTTTGCGTACATAAGCTATCTATGTTTATTTATTTATCTATGGCTAAATTATGTTATTTTTCCAAATAGTGTTATCAATTATAATGTGTTTTTTTTATTTTTAATAACATGCCATTCTCATTTCTATTCTTGTTAAAACTATTTGACATATATTAGACTCATCTGTCCTAGAACTAATGTGGATTTAACTAAAACCATAATGATATATTTCATATCGTGTAAACTGTACATACAATGAATGATTAAGTTTTTTATGTTGTAATTTCAGAAAGAATGGCGGAGGTTAATAAATTTGTATCAGATTTGGAAGATTTTGAGACAGAGAAAGAGAAAGCTGATCGTTTTGCAGGGGTGTATATTATGAAAATCATTTTTTATTTCCCAGAAGTTAAAAAATACATAAAGGGGTTTATTCACTGAATTTTGGGAAAATAAATGAATTTTTTGGGGAAAAGTATCTAAAAGGATGAGAAAACTCATAAAAAATCACCAAGGGGGGTGTTATTCTTGGAAATATATACCCCTGTCGTTTAGGGAACACATGTACTGTGTATGTTCAGGAAAATGATGTAAAAGTTGAAATCACAGAAATTAAAGGTAACCTTGGATTTAGTTTTTAGATTAATTTCTAGAGATTACAGATGCGCTCTTGAACTTTTGTAAAACCGGTTTTCATTTTTCCTGCATTTGTGGTGTCATATCAATTGGACTTATGATCAATTAAGCGAACCTAAGTTTTAGATTTATATTTATTAAGCATCGTATCTGTATTTGTAATCAAACGTAACTTTATTACGTTTAGTAGGAAATGTGATATCCAAAGAGAGCTGATTAAAATTAAAATTAAAAGTTTTACAGTGGATATTTAGATTAAGCCATCAAGATTAAGATTATCCAATTCTAAAGTTTTCAGCTCTAAACTTAAACTTCATAGACTAAGTTAAACGGGCGGATAAGACAAGTGGTTCATTACGTCTTGTATACTAATTTTCATATTCAAATATCTAAAATCGGATAAATGCATCAACAGATTCAGCAAGAGCCTATTTTCGACAATATTGCAATTATTAAAGCCAATTAAAGGAATGTAAACGTAGTTTTAAGTGACCTTTGATATCTAAGGTATCCTAGAAGCCTTTATCTGTTCAAAAATGTGGAAGAAAGAGTCGTTTTTCGTAATCGAAAATGTTTATTTCTTCAAATTTCTTCATTGTTTTGTTAAAGCAAGAAATGCGCAAGTCACTTTTGCAAATGTCACAAATGAAAATAAAAAGTTTTGATATACATAAACACTTATACTTGTTCAGACAAAGCTTTTAATGGTGCCGTTGTAAATCGGGAATTGACAGATCTTTTCATGGCGGTTTACTTGAAATTCTGCTTACAGTTCTTTAAAAAAAAAACTGATTCCGTATTTCAAAATTACTATATTTTTCTATTATGAGACTATTTTTGTAACAACATACATCAACTGATAAAATCTACATTAAACGATTAAATATCTTGAATGAATATTAATTTAGGAGAAATTATCTATGAAGAGGATCCTTTACAATCTAGCCCGAAGAGATACCATGAGAGTATACAAGAAGTGAGATATCCATGCAACCAATGCGAATACTCGGCAATACAGCGAGAAACTCTAAAGAGACACATGGAGAATAAGCATTCTGGAGTAAGATATCCCTGTAATCAATGTGAATACATTGCACCTACTGCTGGAAGTCTCAAAGTGCACACCAACCGAAAACACGACGGAGTAAGATATCCATGTAACCAATGTGAATACTCGGCTACTACACAAGACCTTCTCAGAAAACATATTTGTACCAAGCATGAAAAAGTAAGATATCCATGTAATAGATGTGAATATACTGCAACAACTGTAGGAAATCTGAAGGTGCACATGCAAAGTGTTCATGAAGGCTTGAGGTTTCCATGTAATCAATGTGTTTATACTGGAGCAAGAGCTATTGATCTGAAGATGCACATCAAGAGTAAACATGAATTAGTAAGATATCCATGTACTCAGTGCAAATTTACTTCAACAACAAACAGTAGTTTAAGGAAGCACATGAGGAGTATGCATGAAGGATGCAAGCATCCATGTAATGTATGTACATACGTCGCAAATAGACCACACAATTTAAAGATACACATAAGACGTAAGCATAAAACCATCGATCTTAAAAGCGATCATTAGATCAGATTATATTATCTTTTTAAAAGCGATCATTATATNATCAGATTATATTATCTCATAAAAGTGATCATTATATCAGATTGTATTATCTCTTAAAAGTGATCATTATATCAGATTATATTATCTCATATAGCAAGTTAACTTTTTCGCTGTGTCTAAAAATATGTGAAATTGCCAAATGCTCTGTTTTCAAACTTTTCATGTAAACTCTCGTTCCTATAGTTACAAGTTTCAGAAAAAATGTGATAATTATGACTTCTTCCAAAATTTAAGTGTAAAATCTTTATTTTTTAACTTTTGATATTTTTAAATTGAAGTTCACTGTCGACATATTATTGTTTTCTCGAAGTATTATCATTATGATTAAAATGTCAAACAGATATTTTCTGTTTTACTCTCAACTTTTAGACAGTCATGTAATTAAATTTTCTCATGGTAATAATTGTTTTTTAATTTACCATTATCATTAGTGTTACTTTTGTGTGTTATCTCACATTATTTTGAATGAAAAACAATATTTCCTGAAAAATTTTTTCTCTCCATTTTCTTATTCACAGTCAAAGAATGAAATTGTTTTTTTTTCTCTCGGAGTTGTACCATTCAAAATTATTATTGTGTGTTATGAGTATTTTTTTTACTTACTTTTAATATTTTGTTGAATGATAATATGAGTTAGCATAGATGAAATGTAAATATTGGATATGGAATATCATCGGAAGAGGTTAAGATGGTTTCAGTTACAATCAAGGAAGAAATCTTTACTGTAGAAGAAAAAGATAAATCTACTATTCATGTAAAGGAAGAAGATACAAAGATGGAAAATGTTTCCATTAAAGAGGAAACCTCTACTGTAGAAGATATGTGCACTGTTAATATAAAGGAAGAAGATATCAACATGGAAAATGTTGCCATTAAAGAGGAAACCTCTACTGTAGAAGATATGTGTACTGTTAATATAAAGGAAGAAGATACCAAGATAGAAAATGTTGCTATTAAAGAGGAAACCTCTACTGTAGAAGATATGTGTACTGTTAATATAAAGGAAGAAGATACCGAGATAGAAAATGTTGCTAGTAAAGAGGAAACCTCTACTGTAGAATATATGTGTACTGTTAATATAAAGGAAGAAGATACCAAGATGGAAAATGTTGTTAGTAAAGAGGAAACCTCTACAATAGAAGATATGTGTACTGTTAATATAAAGGAAGAAGATACCAAGATGGTAAATGTTGCTAGTAAAGACGAAATATCTACTGTAGAAGAAATGTTTATTGTTTATATAAAGGAAGAAGACGTGAAACTGGAAAGTACAGATATAAAAGGTAATTTATTATTTAGACTTTAATCGATGAGAATAGTTGAATATCACTTTATTTTAGGTATGTCTTTTTATGACAGTCCTCGTCATTGAAATGTATATTTTTAGGTGAATTGATATTTGAAGATCCGCTACAATCCGGGACCAAGATGAGGAAACATGAAGGAGTCAGGTATCCGTGTTCTCAGCGAAATAATCTGCAAAACGCGAAAATAAGCTTAAAAGACGCGCAAAGAGTATGCATGAGGTATCCATGTAATCAGTGTGAATATTCTGCAACACAAGAAGGACATATAGAGAGACGCATACAGAGCATACATGAGGTAGTAAGATATCCATGATCTCCGTGTAAATACTCTGCAACAACCGCAGGAAATCTTGAAATACACACACAGAGTATCCGCGTAGGGAGTGAGGTATCCATGCGACCAGTGTGGACACTCACACAGAAAATAAATTCCTTTGCATTGTAATTCTCAGCCATATTATAAACTTTTGTTCTCAAAGTTAAAATTATTACTATTATGTGATGCATCTGAATAAATTTTAAATTAGAATATGAAAAAGTATTTTACTTATATTTGATTTATATATCTAAATTATATTCAGTTAGATAACTAACAATTAAGTATAAATTCTTCTCTTTGAATTGTAATTTTCAACCATAGTATAATCTTTTATTCTCAAAGCTGTTAATTATTGTGATATATCCGATTTTTGAAAATTAGAATTATTTTTCTTAATTTTATTTTCATAAATTGTAGTCAGCTGATTGACATTTCAGATTGTACAGCAGAAAATTTGTTAAAATATTTGTAATACTTTTATTAATAGGTTAAGTTTCCTTAGAAGAAGAAAAAGTTTTATGGAATGCTTCCACTACATTCCCAGCTGCTTCCTTTACTAACTGAGCTGCGTTAACTGTTCTTCCAATCTGAGATGCTTTTAATATTTTCTCAGCTGCTTCCTTTATTACCGGAGCTGCTCCTAGAGTCTATGCTATGATAGCTGTGCATTACCGGAGCTGCTTCTAGAGTCTCTGCTTCTTTAGCCGTACTTACAGTTCGAGCTATTTACAGAGTCTCTTCTATGTTAGCCTTATTTACAGTTTAAGCTGCTCATAGAGTCTCTGCTATGTTAGCCTTACTCGCATTTCGAGCTTCTCCTAGAGTATCTGCTATGTTATTGTCATTGTCATCATTGTTATCATCGTATCTTGATTGTTATCATCCTTGTTATCATCATGGTTTCTTCCAAAGATCTGCGAAGAGCTGTTCCAAAATAAGTGGCGTCTCCGTTCTCAGAATCCTCTGGTTCCGCTAGTGGTTCCACAACAGGTCTAGCTTCTGCTCCTAAAGTCTTAAGTCTGATTTCTGGCCGCTCCAGATATGTGAAGAGCTGTCTGTAAAGATCAGCTTCTCAAATCTCAGGTGTAGGCAGCATCTGATATCTTAAATATCCTGGTTCTCCTCTTTATCAAGGATATTCCCGTGGGTAGTTCAGACGGGCTGGTTTGAGAGCAATTGATAAGTCTGACTGGATCTGCTAGCTGCTCCACAGAACACCATCATGAAGCTCTACAAACTCTTTCCAACCGATATTCGTCTATAGTTTCTTTATTAATTTCTATACCAGCCAATTTAAGCCCCACTCGGGAAAATATTTCATAACCTTTTGTTTTTATAAATAAAGATTAGAAATACCGTTAGATCTCTTTTATTTTATCATATTGACTTTTAAAGTCAACAAGGATATACAGGACACATAGGAGAACAGGATATCCAGGACACACAGGAACTAAGACTTCTATATGGGGCTTATCCCCCCCTGGATCAGTAATATCTTTGGTTTCCACTGGGACTTCAGGTTCCAAAATATAGACTTAATTTGTTCTTCATTGAATGAAGACGACTTCCGGACTTAATGGTCAGGTATACATGGTAACCTTATGAATTAAATATGTGGATGACCCTGTAGATGAAAAGAGTGCCAAATGTAAAAATGGGTGCAATATGACGAATGTTGATTTCAATGAACTAAGTACTGGGAAAGGTTAAGAACGATCATTTTGTTTTAAAAGGAACTTTTTGTTTTACATAATTTACTTGTGCATTAATTAATTTATAATTAGTAATAATTAATTCGTTAACGATTGTCAACGACGGCCCTTCGTTAACGATTGTTAACGAAGAGAGGAAACCGACCTGAAGGGCAAGTGTATTAATCATTGAGTAGTTTTTAAGAAAATATCAAGAAGTTTCAGCTCCCCAACAACTGTAAGACGACATTCAATAAAGTTGCATGTAATTTTTTTCAAAAACGATCAATTTTCCAAAAACGACCGTTTTTATAAAGTTCGTTGTTTCGTTAACGACAATCCTTTGTTAACGATCGAATTGTTAAAATTATTGTCAATAAAATTTTTGTTTCAAAAACTATCGTTTTTTCAAGAGCGATCGTTTTTTAAAAAACAATCGTATAAAAAACTGTCGCAAATCGTTTTTAAAAAAACGATCGCTTTCAAAAACGATCGTTATTCGTTTCCTAAAAGTTCATAATCTAAAATGGAGGCTCACTTAATTATAGGTTTTCAGCCTCTTTAAGAAGTTATATTCCGAGTATTAAGTTTGCACAAGGCAGTGTTAGTTAAACTTTCTTTAGTGAACCATGACTAAAGTTAATATTAGCTCAATTATTCTTCAAATATACTCTATCCTGAGAATAATACCCAGCAAGAAGTATTCCTGTCTGAATAAGATCGGCCAGCTGTTCTGGATGCTAGTTGGACTAATCGGTGGGGTGGGTGTTCTAGTTTGGGATTTTGAAAACTTGAGTCTTCAGTTTACACCATACATCATTGCTTTTCTTGCATCTGATTTTTTAACTCTATTGCTGATAACCTTATCCTTCCCTGCAATTGCGTATTTGGTGAAAGAAACCGATTTCCTGTCAAATGAACCCAAGCCACCAATACCTATGCGCTTTTGGCATCTTCTGGCTAACTTAATTATATATGGAGCTACTGCTCTCTATATTACACTGATCTCTACTACCACCTTCACATCGTTCTATTTAGTATTTTTAGTTCTCTATAATGTGAACAGCTTTCTTGTTGTTATTGCGGAGATAGTCTTGTTTGGGATATATGCAGCTTGGTTTAGTAAACAAGCAGATGAACTCAATCAAAAACCATCATATGATTTTCCCCATCAATGTTATCAATTGATAAATCATTATCAACAACTAAAAAAAGGATCGTCGCCCCTTCTTTTTCTTATCTTTACAGTAGATACATGCAATGTCATCTTTATGGGTTATTATATTACCAGGGGAGAGATGTATGCTGGGTGTTATATGCTATTTATTGCAATGAAATTATCTTATATAACATTTGTATTGGAGGACTGTTATACTCAGTTTAAAAATATTGGAAAGGCCCAAAGGTAAATAATTGCCATGTTATTTAAGGGCGTTTACGGGATGTATTATGAGGGAAGGGAAAAATTGTTAAATATGTGGGTATAACAAAATTTTATTTTTTTAAAATCAGAAGCCAAATTAAATTTATTCTGTTTAGGAAGCTACTTCTAGCAGCTGATCCAAATACAGAGAAAGTTATTGCTGATATAGTTCATCAGATCGAAGAAGAAACACCATTTACTGCTCTAGGATTCTTCAATGTTGAGCGTACCACCCTTACGTCATTGGTGGCTACAATCTTAACCTATCTGATTATTCTTAAGCAGTTTGATGGATAAAATATCTTCTGTTAACGCCGTTATTAAAATAAGATCATTAACAAACAGTAACTGTAAAATAAAAACAGAAAATTTGGAAATGGAACGTTCAGTTCTTTATTAAAGGGAATGACTGGCATTGTATGGTAGTTGCGCTCAAACTCATTAATTATTCATCATTGAAACGTTTTATTTGTCTCAAATGAATCCTAAAAATTTTTCCACAATACTACATTCTCTGTTCAACTACCATACATTGCAGGTCACTCCCATTAAGAACAAACGGCTAGCTGAAAAGTTGGTCTGTTCTGTTATTCAAACTAGCTGTAAACACACGGCTTGAAAACAGTACATACAAACTTGCCCAGCCCTAGCTGAGGCCTGCTAGGGTTTCCATGGCACGCAAGTGAATTTTACTTGTGCGCAAATGCAAGCCCTTCAGTTCCGCACAGCGAGACTCCGATTGCAAACCCTACTTGTAACCCTAAAGTAACCTTCTTCATGCACTCAGCTTATTTCACTAAAAAGCTAAAGTGATCAAGATATTTGTCTTCATAAACTGTTTTTTTTAATCTGTATTAAAAAATGGGCATATTAACTCAAATACAACATCTGACAAAATGACATATTAAATCTGCAGTAACACCTTCTGACAAACCAAAACAACTCACACATATCATGTTCCAAGATCTTTGTTTCCTCTTAAATGTGTTGTATCCATGGATGTATATGGTCAAATAATTACTTAATAACACTGTGTAAGAGAGATTTCCCCCCCCCCCNCATAAACTTCCAGTTACAGGCCGGTAATTTCTAATATAAATTTTAATAATAAGTGTTATGTTCTTAAGAATTTGTGAAATTATTGATTCTTTATAAACTGAGTCAACAGTCAGCAGCAAAGTGTAAATATAAACCATTCTTAATATTTTTTATAAAAAATTCAAAATTTGGATCTGTTTGAATTGTAATTCTCAACCACATTTTTTTTAATGTTTGATTAATCTATATACTAAATTAATTGACATTTCGGAAAGTCAGAATGCACTATGAATTAGCATGTATCATATTAAAGAGAGATATCAATGTGTTCTGTGTGAATACGCTACAACAATAGTAGAACATCTCTAAGTACATAATAATTAACATTTCAAATAAATATTTATGATTGATATTCAGAATGGACTGATAAAAACAGAAAAATTGTATGTAGTAATTTTTTTTTTATATTCGATCAAATCCAAATTAGCTTGTTATTATCTTGTAGATTTCAATTTCCTTGTTTGATAATAGAAATTTTGTTAACTAAGATGAAAATGTTTCTTCGCTATATGTATATACTCAGAAGAGAGTGCTGAACATATAGGCATTTCAGGAACAAAAATCAACAACTGAGCACAACTGAGCTGAACCTAGGATAGGAGTAGAGGAGCTGAACCCAGGATAGGAGTAGAGAAGCTGAAAGTAGAGGAGCTGAAATGTATATATTCAGAAGAGAGTGCTGAACATATAGGCATTTCAGGAACAAAAATCAACAACTGAGCACCACAACTGAGCTGAACTAAGGACAGGAGTAGAGGAGCTGAACCTAAGATAGGAGTAGAGGAGCTGAACCTAGAATAGTAGCAGAGGAGATGAACCCAGGATAGGAGTAGAGGAGCTGAACCTCGGATAGGAGTAGAGGAGCTGAACCTCGGATAGGAGTAGAGGAGCTGAACCTAGGATAGGAGTAGAGGAGCTGAACCTAGGATAGGAGTAGAGGAGCTGAACCTAGGACAGGAGTAGAGGAGCTGAACCTAAGACAGGAGTAGAGGAGCTGA